AGAAGCAAGGTCAGTTTTAAATTTAGTGAGAGCTTACACTAATCCAAGCAAGTCTTGCTTCCATTTCATGGCATTTATCCTATTAAGTGTTAATAATGGCTTTCTCCTTAATATCCTCAGGTATCGCAGATGCTTCTGCAGCTGTATCGTCTCATTCTGCCGTCTCTGCCACTAGTCAAGCTACTCAAACGATGGACTTTACAAGTGAAAAACTGCACACAGGTAGAGCTCAGTACAGTAACACACCCTATCCTATTTGACGAGCCGTTCTGCTCACACGGCTGAAAGAACATGATCATTTTCAAGGCAAAGCAGTTGTTGTTGTCAGTTATTTACAAGGCTGCTCGAGATAAAGTAAAACCTGATAACGTTACACACACGTTACAACAATTAACTATTAAATTTGGTGTATTGGTCAATTATTGTAATGACAAAAGAAACTTTACCAAAACGGCACTCATGCCAGTGAGTTATCCAGATCATCAACAAAGTTAAGATACATGTTGAAATGCGAACCAAGATAACAAGCAGTGAAAGTGTTGGTTATCTTTTTCAGAACACTGTAGGTACGAAGGCCAAGGAAAGGTGACTTCGGAAACTTGTCATAGCAAGGTGTCTGTTGGTAAGTTGTTATTCATATACAAATCTTCATTCATTCAGTTATTTGCTTACTGACATATCTATCAAATTAATTTATTTAAGCACCTGTCTGCTTCAGTTTTGTAAAAAGCAAAAGATTCCCAATTTTTTAGTGAAGAAGGCTGGGTTTGTTTGGACGGAAGTTGAGATTTAAGATTCGCCGGACCCCGGACTGCGCAACAGCCACGCAAAATTTTATCTGGACTCTACCTCTCTTTTTCGGTACGCTTTCTATCTGAATTTTTAAAACTACTCATTAAAGATTGAATAACGCCATCCCACAATTGTCAGATCAGCACCTTAAGAGAGCCCTATCAAGCTTACTCTTAGTTTAGATTGTTGCTCTTAATTTAGATTGCTAGCATGATGGGTAGAGACACTTGCACAACTCTTTACCAAGATTTCGAGAAAATAAGTTGCCTACAACTGTATATATTAAGTTTTTATAGCCTAAACGTCTTTCTTGCTTTAGATCGGTATGTATTTGGTACGTTTGCCATATGTGAATTTGTGGGGGAAAGATAGAAACCATATTCGTAAATCTCCATTTCAGAGATCTCCAGTTTTGAGTCAGACATCACATTTTTTGCCAAACGACACGATCC